AAGACAACCACTTAGAAATGCATGCCATTATTGTTAACTTCTGAGAATATGGCATCATAATACTATACAGGCATATAGCCCTATAAATTTTATTTCATTTACTGCAAAATTCAGAATAATTTGAATAAGCGTATCCATTTCTGAGCATGTACATGCACATCTGTATTCCACTTGTTCTGTTACTGCTTTGGTTTTTACTTTTTGAACAGATCAAAAGCCTTCTTGTCGGTTCCAAACAGCTCTTTATTTAAAAGATCAGGAAACAAGATACTAAAATATGACAACTACTTATATATCACTTATACAACTACTCTAAGGATATGTTAATACACACACACACAAAAGGGAATTTCCACTCATGGAACAACTATTAAATAAAATATTTTTAAGAACTTCTGTCTACCTGCTATAAAATAGGAATTTATATTTTAATTTTCTTGTAAGTTTTTTTCATCATAAAGAACAGATATCTTCAACTTCATAAATACGTTATGATTTTTGAAACAATTTTTGACACATTATGCCACTCAGTCAAGATTTCCAAGTCACATTGCTCCATAAACAACTTTATTTAAAAAATGATGCTTGACATACCACAAACTGGAATATTTCTGGAAATGAAAAATATTTCTGGATATATTCCAGAAATATGTCTGCAAATATTTCTGGAAATATTTCTGGAAATGAAAAAAACATATTTTAAAAAATCTAAATTTTAAGATACCAAAACCTGTTAAACAGTTTGGATTTTCAAATGACGAATCATAAAAAGCCACAACAACAGTGTTAAGATTTTAGTCTCATTTTCCGTATCTCTTTTTCAGAGTAGTCATTAATTGTGGCGAGCCAAAGTTTGCCTGACATGAGCTACCATTAAACTTTGTTTAGTCCACAATCTGACTACTGAGCCTCTCAGACTCATCCAAATAATCTGAATTTGGTAGTTCTTGAAATCTGATTATCAACACCGTGTTTTTTGTGAGTCTTAAAATGCCAGCTCTTATATTCAAGACATTGGACGACAATGTCAACTTTCAATAGTAATGCTTAAAACAAACAACAAAAAAGCACCATGGTTTTAGCTGTTCTTAGCGTTGAAAATCTTTGAAAACTTGAATCTGATGCATCCTGTAGGCACAGTAAATAGAGGATAATAAAAATCACTCTACATCCATCTATTAATTTGCCTAGACATAAGGATTTTTTATTCAAGCTTACAGTTTTTGCAGCCTCAATAATGGTTTTTGAATGCTTGAGTTTGGTAATAATGAAAATATTCTTTCCCAGATTCTTAATGGAGGTCAAACCCTCTCTCCACTTTCTTTGCTTGCCACAAAGAGAAGGTTAGAGCTCTGGCTCTACAGTCACCTCTCACATGACTACTTTTAGTCCAGTTTAGTCCAATGTTTTGGATGAGCAGAACGTCACTGATCAGTCTGGAAACTTGGAAAACTCCAGAAGGATCTACTTCTGCCTCTGCCCTGTTACATAGAAGTACAATAGTGGTGGCTTGTGTCTTCAGTTTGATAGAGCATGGTGCAAATTGAAAACTAAACTTGGGAGAGCAGAGTTATAATGACTCAGCTGTGGGTTAGGTAAGAGAAAGTATGAGCCACAGCAACAATCATAGATTGCAAAATTAAATTGCATATATCTTTTAATCTGATAAACTCCACAATCTAACCATTCTGTTTACACCACAGCCATAAACTCTTCCCAGCAACCTACAACACAGACCCACATTACAAAAGACTGAAAACAACAAATGCGAGAATATGTCACAACCAAGACCCAAGAAAGCTGACATGACTTATTTTACTTATTTCACCGTGTATTGAAATTTTAGAACAATAAATATAATTTTTAATCTGTGTCCTTTTAAAGAATAAGTAGCAAACATTCTTCAGAGGTTACAAAAGTATTCATTTTTCTGTGCTTTTCATGTCTATGGGATTTAGCAAAATCTAGGGAATAAATATTAAAGAAAATATATCAACTCAATTTAAATCTCTGTTAATTTTATTTCTACATTAGAAATAGCTTTGAAGTTCATGCAGATTCACCAGATGACAATATTCAGTATTTGAGAGTACAAGGAAGATTTAAACTATGTGAATAATTGGTATAATTATTCACTATTCGTCTTCATTTTGTCATCTTCATATGAAGATCAGCAATGGACTATGCAGAAGAAATGGGTTCCTCTGTGGAGACAGAGAAAGGCATCAAATCTCTCAGTAACTGCCTTTTTAAAACAAAATTCTCTACTTCAAGTGATGCTTCCATTGGCGAAGGTGACAATTTGAGTTAATGACCCTCAAAACAACTTTTGAAATCTAGGACAATTATAAAATAGGACAAAAAAAGGGCTGTATTTACAAAGCTTCACATATTAGGGATGCTTTCTCTGACCTGAAGTTCATTCAGCACCCATAGCTGTTGCAGATACATTAATTTTTCAGGCAAGCCAAGACACATACCCTAAAAAAGGATATGGTAAATAAGGGCAAATATGTATAAGCCTACATGTTTTTTGTAGCTATTATCCAAAATAAGAGCTGAAGAATGGCTGTAATTGACAGCAATATGTTCAAAGGAGGTAGCAGTACCTTGAAGTGAACGGAGGTTTCAGGTCAATGAGGGTCCCTCAGACAACAAAATACTACTTCCCAACATTGTTTATCTGTGTTAATAGTGTGGGGTTTTTTGTGTATTTTCCAATATTTATGTGCTATTTTTCTTGATTTTTCACCAATGATTGCATTTGAACTTGGAAATGCCATCACAAGCTATTGTATTTTCACTGACTGTTCCATATTTATGGATTTTCTTTCCATCTCTGGTTAGGACTTTCCCTCACTCTGCGTGATTCACTCCTCTGTCAGCAATCTGACCATCTCCATCAAAGGCTGAGGGAAAACTTAACAGGTTACCTGCTACCGAACTTGAAGGTAGGTCTCCTCCAGTGACACTCAGATTCACAGTCTAGTGAAAGTAAGCCATTTAAGCCATTTTCAATCAGTTGACTTGGCTGTTCTGTTAAATCTACATTGCAAGGAATCAACACACAGGCACTTTCAGGATAATTTTGAATTAAAATGTGGAGCACTAGAGATTGGTGGAGTATGCAAAGAATATCTCCTGAGAAACTTAAGTCTTGAATATCTAAATATTCCAAAAAACAAATTGTGGATTTCTGTTTCTTTTTTCTTCCTTTTCTTCTTCTTTTTTTTTTAATTTTAGCATTATTTCTTGAATGATACTACCATTCTTATCCTACATTCTTTTAACTCCTGCACTCAAGCTGCACATGCAGAAGAGCAGATCGTGGCAGCCTTTTTGTGTGTGTATTCATGTTGCCTAGTAAATAGTGAGATGAATTTTATTTTTCTCTGCCTTTCTAATTGCAGTGACTTTTGAACAACTCTATTCTGCTTTATTATTTCACATCAAAAGGTAATTTAGAATTTGAAGTGCCTGTTACAGGACTATG